GAAAAATCACATACAAGTCTTGCGAGGTATGATACACATGAGGTGAGGGTTTACCTCCCTTGTCGATATCCACATTGTGACAACAATAGGGCCCGTTGAGTTGCAACAGGTACTCAGTGTGAGCCGCGTATAGGTCGCCTATGCGACGCTCTCCGCGACGAACGAGTGGCAGCTCAAGCCCGAAACCTGGATCGATTCTCTGGACCGGACTCAAGACAGGAACTTCCCCGTTCGTCTCGTCGTCGAAATAGCCGACTGGAACGTGGCCGCTGTCCTCGTCTTCCCACTTGGTGAGTACAGAGCCCTCCGTATCTGACCAGTCCAAATTTTCAGACTCTGAAGAGTCGCTGACCGATTGCAAATCAGGCATGTCGTTCCAATTGGTCTCGATATAGTGCAAGTCAATACCTGCCGACGTTTCAGTGGTGGCGGCCAGCTCTCTGAGTTGTTCCGCTCGGGAGTGGCTCCCAATCTCCACGCTGTACGAGGTGAGTCCAGGTGGTTTTCCCTTCTTGTCTGACTTGACCAGGTTAGCTTTGGGGCACACGTTCGCATAGTGACCTGTTTCTTTGCACAAGAAACACTTGCCTTGCTCCCGGAGCTCAGCCCGTTCCTGGCTCGAAAGCCGGGGCTCGTTCCGATTGCGGGAGGATCATTTAGCTTGTCCGGACAATTTCTCGCCCTTGCCTGACCGGGGTTGGTGAGTTCTCCCACTATTACGCCCTCGGGAGCGGCGCTGATCACTCTGGGGGTTCTCACGGTCATTCTGATGCGAGTACGCCTTCTGGTGGCCTCCGGTACATAAGGGACTCTGGTTGTCTCGCTTATGGCCTCAAGGTTCGTTCCCTGGGCGAGAATAACGACCTCGGCCTACTTTATCAGCAATCTCAATAATTTCAGCGGCCTCCCTGACCTCAGGCCAGGTAGACGTGGTGGGGGTGAGTTCTTTCTTCCACAATTTGCGCTGTATGCTTTCATTCAAGCCGTTCCACAACTTGTCTACTTGTTCTCGGTCTGAGACAAATTTTATGAGCAGAAACAAGTTCTCAAGCTCATGAACGTAGTCACGTACACTACGTCCTCCCTGGTAAGTGTTCCGCAATTTCTCGTGCATCTGCAGGCGATAGTCGACTGGAAAACAGTAATTGAACAGTTCCTTGAACAGGTCTTCCAGCGTCCACTTGGCAGGGTTGTTGGACACGGTGTTGACCCAGAAGGTGTAAGCTCTTCCAGTGAGGAAGTTGGATATTGTTGAGGTGTACATTCATGAGTCTACAGTGTACCCACGAATATACTCCACACACTGACGCATGAATTTGTGGAATGTCTGAGCATTGGCTTCTCCGCCATACTTCCATCAGGAAAACGTCACGGACTTGTACAGGTACTTGGGGCACTTGGCCAAGTACCTCAAGTATCCCAAGTACCTCAAGTACCCCAAGTCCAATGGACTTGGCCAAGTCGGGTGGGTCGACTTGGCCAAGTCCTCCAAGTCCCTGTTCAAGTTCATGCCCAAGTTCACTGTGAGATGTATTGAATAAAGATGATATGCATGGAAGTAAATCAAAAGACAGCTGCTCTTGATCAAGGTCAAGCGTACAATATTTGTTAGTGGGTGCAGCGGCGGCAAAAAAAATGCCACCACTGGGAATTGAACCAGCAACCTACATATTCAGTGTCTAACACAGCATGTTCAACCACTACACCACAGAAGCTCACACTATGGCACAGGATACCAGCCATATATAGCGCTCTTTGCTGGACTCTGAGAAATTCTTCACCATCCTCTCCTGTACCATAGCAGAACTTGGACATCCACCACTGATACCACTATTCTTGGGCATTATCTGGATATTGTACCTCTGTATCACTACTGAAACAAGCACATTGTAACAACTTGAAGTCTTCTATCACATGTTATTGCCCTTCTTCTAATAGACTATAAAGCTGCTTCTATGGACTTAAAACAGACTGGTTTACAACTAGTGTATGGATGTCTATGATAGATATTATTACATAAGAAGTATACAAGATGTGTGACTGATAGAACACCAATTGCTCAAGTTGAGGCCTGAGTCTACTGAAGTCAACATGTAAAGTCCAAGTTGTGGCCCAAGTACCCCAAGTACCCCAAGTATATAGACTTGGGTCAAGTCCTTGTACTTGGGACCAAGTACACGGACTTGGGGCCAAGTACATGGACTTGGGGCCAAGTACACGAAGTTGAGTCCAAGTACATGAACTTGGGCCCAAGTATGGGTCCAAGTCCATGACATTTTCCTGATGCTCTCTGGCCGCTCGGGCTTGAGCACTGGTTTCCTGGTGTGTTTCTTCTTTTTACGAGACTTACACGAGGCCCTGCGCGAGCTAACGGACTCGTCCCCTTCAACGGAGCTCGTACCACCTACTTCCGAGGGCTCGGAAGAGGATGAGGATGAGCCGTCAGAGCTGTCCGAGGGGTCTCCACCTGTGATGCCAGCGAAGGCCCATTCTAGGTAGCTGCCTGGTTCCAGCTGGGCGACCGGCTGTAGGGATGATGCTCGGTGAACAGGCCCGAGACTCTTTCTCCTAGCTACGGATTCCTGGGAGATGACAGCACCTTTGGCCTTCCGGGCGTTCTGCAAGTCTCGCTTCTTCTTGCGAGCGGCCTTATGCTGCTCTGCCTCTTCCTTCAACCGGGCCAGCTCCTTCCGGATTTCCTGGAGCTGCTCCGTGAGGAGGCGGTTAGCCTCCTGGCTAGCAGAGCGACGAGGAGCGGCCATTATGGCTTCCTCAACCTCACTCGCCTCAGACGGGGTTGAAGCGCGGCTTGTAGTGTATGAGGAGCCCGACTGGGTAGATCCACCCGGTGTAGTAACCGCCGTCGGCTCACGTTCTGAGTCCTTCCGCCCTTGCTTTCGAGCTTCCCAATACTCCAGCATGGCACGCTGCTCATCTGTATCGTAGTTATCAAATATATTGTGATGCCCAGTACTATACAACTGCAGCTCGTGCCTCTGCGCATTCGGGTCTAGCTCATTGTCTGGGATGCCCGAGGCACCCCAGTTCCATGCATCCACGGTCTTCCCCTTGTCCCAAGAGGGACCCTCACTCCGATGCTTGGGAGAGAGGGAACGCGGGCGAGTCATCTCAACCGCTGCCATCCGGTGGGAATAGCGGTCCCGTTTCACTGAAGTAAGGCTCGCGGCGGCCGTATCGACGGCCGCCCGCTGAGGAGAAGTGAGTATGGGGCCATCCTGCGCAGTGACGGGATCCCGAGCAGGCAGAGCGGCGTCCGCACTGCGAGCACGGCGGCGCCGCTGGACTGGAATCCAAGGGCCGCCATCGTCGTTAGAGCCATCCTCGATGGTCACTGGATACTTCCGAACGCCCTCGCCGGTGTTAAACAGGCGCTGGTTTACACAGCTTGCCTAACACAGCCGTCACAAGATATGGAACCTCACAGCTGGTTACTGCAATAACCGAGGCTGTACTACTCATGTGGTACACACACACAGCTTCGCTGTGTACGCACTGCTTCTCTGTGCGTCTGTGCATCCTGGGAAGGTACTGTATAGTACTATGTAGCCACAGATGTACAGTAGTATATATAGGGGACCTCTGTACCCCCAATCTATAGTTCAGTTCACTCGAACATCTCCTCTCGTCGCTCTAACAAGCCTCTCTTACCAACCAACCCTTCCAGGTGAGTTACAAGCTGTCCGCTGTTGTTGCTACCCATGGGATGGGCTGTCGCCCTCCCGGGTTCAACAGCCGGCGTCGGAAACGGGAGAGTTTAAAGCCCCGTGGGCATCTGCGTGAGCAGTCACCAGTCCGGCTACAATAGCGGAGGACTGGGAACCCGAGGCGGGGACACCACGCTCGGTTCCGGGGCTGACACCACTGGTAGGGGACTCGGTCCCAGTAAGAGGGCTACCTGTGGCAGGTATGTCAGCCGTGACTGCTGCAAGGGGCGGCTCACCAGGTCTCAAAGGCTGAGCGGCCGAAAGAACCTCCGTGCCCGGCGGGCGACGTCTGAGGTTGTATCTAATAGACATGTCTGGGTTTTATAATAATAGGTTAGCTAACAAGGAGAGAGAGAACGGAAACGTGCGATATAGGTCGTCGAAAGGAGTCCCGAGTTGATCAGACTCGGAGGAGGCCCAGTCGACAAGGAAGAGAGAGATAGAGACGAGAGTGAGACGGTTGTTGTCGAGAGACTAGCTGTCAAAAATATGACGCGCTCGCTGGCCCGAAGGGGTAGGTGGCGCGTCACGAGAGGGAGTCTGAGAGGTTCGCTCGAGGTACTGACAGGTTATGAGAGTCTCGATTGAACGCTCCAGTTTGTACATACAGATCTGGGTTTATATACGGTTCACGGGCGCTATAACAGCTCTAAGGTTCGGGAACACACGGTACAGATAAGAGTTAGATAGGAGAAGCTAGGATTAGGAAGAGGCCAATCCCGAAGCACAACGTCGATCAGGTACGGAGGGGGAGAAGAGAAGTAGCGCGCGACGCGGGCGCTACAGTAGCTCTTCCAACGCGTCAGACTCCACATCATATGTTGTGTAGAATAACGAGCAAAGTCAACGCAGGACCTGGAGAGAAGAAGGTATGTCGCCACAAATATGACCCCCAAATCACCTCGACTGACCCGGATATGTCTTAGGGTTAGAGTCACCAAGTGACATGAACGCTTAGCAGCTTGCACAGACTATTAGCTTTACAAGAGTTCCATCTGGTACAGATCTGTTGACCAAGATCACACTGTGTTAGCCGTCGCAAAGCTGCTGTTAAGTGAGCCCCCACGTGATGATAGAGCACCCTTGCTTAGGGCTCAACCACAATATCATACGCGTTGAATGGATAGGCGGAGTTCATGTCCGATCGTCAGCCACTCTGCGTGCATTGGCGAAGCGTATGCTGTCTTTTCCGATGTACTAGCGCCTATGCCCCACCATTTTTCTCTCTCAACCACCATCACGGACTCTACAACCACTTCCCGACGCTACTATTGAATGTCCATCTCAACAGGTTGTCTCAGTAGCAGCTTCCTCTGCTCTGGGAGCTCAGGTACGAGCGGCGTTCAATCTACTCCTCTGGCTCTCAGGTCCTCTAACAATTCTGTCAACCTGCAGGCACCCTCATCGGCGATCATGACGTGCTGAAAGCATGGAAGAAGGAGCTTGAACGCAAGATCAACCTCTCAGACGATACGGGGAGCGATTTTCTGGCAAAGTACGTTCCTTCAAGCACTCCCTGCACTTGCGCGGATGTCAGTGGGACCGAGTTTGGCGCGTTCAAGCCTGGTGAAGTCAGTGCCTATCTTTCCTTCGTACGTGGCTTTCATACACCACCCGTTAAGTATTTAGCCTCACATTCCACCAGATCAAAGGTCTCAACGCGCTCGTTGCTTCATTCCCTGACCAGAAGAGGCTGTCGTTCTTCGACTGTCATACCCAATTTCAGCGGTTCCCCTACGCCGATTTCGCCGCCAACCACCACAAGTCCTATCCGGACATCGCTGTCTCTTTTCCTGGACAGATCCTGGACGCCAAGACCTTACCTGTGGACTGGTCACGGTTTTCCATGATCATCGAATTGAAAACTAAAAACGAGGATCCGTTTCGCGGCAAAGGCCTCAAGCACTGCAAGACCCTTATCCAGCTCGCTGTAGATGCTCGAAACCTTCTGCATGCTCATAGCCTTCTTGCAGCCTTTATCGTTGGTGTTTATGGCGACACAGTGCGCATTGCTCGCTTCGACCACGCCGGTGCTGTTTTCTCCCAACCCCTGTCGCTGCGTGAGGTCGACGACCTCCGCATCATCCAACGGTTTTTCTGGAATTTCGCCCACCCCAACGACGGCGAAACCGTGGTGGGCTGCGACCCGACCGTTCGCAGGCTGACGCCTGATGACGAGGAATGGCTTAAGCATCGGTTGGAGCTCGCCGGGGTGAGCAGTGAGGAATTCTTGTCCTCCGAAGCCCGTCGGGCCGAGGTCTTCAATGACGATGTGTCAGGGAATGCGGGTGTGTCCGCTGCATACATCCTCTTCAAGGCGCTCGACGTCAACGGCCGTCTGTTCTCTCGAGCGACCACCGTGTGGCTGGGAATCCGTGACACCCGTAGCTTGGTCAACGGTCGCCTCGTTGACCTACTTGTGGACAGGATTCCGGCGGAAGACCTGAAGGTGCGGATTGTCAAAGACGCGTGGCGACCAGTTGTTCGACGTTCGGAGAAGGATTCTATGCCCGTCTGTCAAGCATACCTCCGGCTGAGCGCGTGGGGGTTCCTAGTCTCCTCTTCGGTGGGGATCTGGGAGAGCGTGAGGTGCGTCAATGGGAGTCACATCTGTACGGCGCCCCAGCACCGCACAAGTTTGCAAACCATCAGAATCGCTTGTCGGGGCCCACATCAGGCACCGCCTCGTCGTCCACACCTCCGTCGTCCCTTTCCCCTCGGCTAGCCTGCGATTGCCCTCCTGTGCACCGTCCGATGCAGCAGACGTTCACCTGGCGTCAATCCCAGGGGCCTGAATATTGGCATCACGAACGAAGCCACATGCGCTTCGTGGTCGACATTATCGGTCGACCTCTGACTCGGTTCCGGAATACTCGAGAGATGGCATCTGCCATCCGAGACGGGATCCGTGGTACGTCTATCACTTGTTGTAGGCTGTATTGCCGATTGGACTCATAGCATGTGTTTGACAGGGCATCGTGTCGCTGTGACCCGCGCAGGCATCCTCCATCGGGATGTGAGCGTCAACAACATCCTCATCGTTGACGATCCTGCAGAACAAGGTTCTTTTACGGGTTTCATCCATGACTTTGATTATTCCTCTATGAGTCGGGACTTTCCAACCAACTTTACATCCGCGGCGGCATTGTCCGAGCTCCTGACTGTGGATGTCGATGGCGGTGAGCCGAAGGAAAGAGTGGTGCGTCGTCATAACGGTACCTGGAACTGGATCTAACGCCGACTTCCTCGCTAATGTTCAGGGAACTTTCCATTTCATGTCCATCGAGCTGGTAGCCGGTTCTGTAATCCCTTCAAGTCCACTTCACCACGATCTGCAGTCGTTCTACTGGGTCCTTCTGTGGATCGCCCTCAGGCACACAGATCACACCCATCCCATGGGCGACAAAGCTTGCCCATCCATCTTCCAGCTCGGCGACGCAAATTGTGTAAGTGCGAAACTCATCTGGCTCCACTCGCCGATACGCAAGAATCTCAGCGTCCGCGATAACGTGCCTTTGACTGTTCTCCTAAAGGAACTCGGCGATCTATGTCTCGGGACGATATTCCGGGACAACAACCCTCTGCATTACGAAGATGTCCTCGCGGTCTTCGACAAGGTTCTCGACTCTGAAGGATACCGGTCCCTATGGCCTGCGGAGGATCCGGCCAGGGCCTACAAGCTTCCGGATACTCGCCGCAAGAACAAGCTTTCCTCTTCAGGCACAGACATGGATGACGAAAGCACGGACTTCGAGCCCTATGACGAGGATCACAAGATCCGCATGTCCCTAGCTGGCCGCGACGGCAGTGGAAAGCTCGTTGGTGCCCCCAACCCCGTCAGCTTGATCAAGAGCGAGCCTTCGTTCACCCTGTGCAGCCCCGATAGAAACTACGATAGATGTATGATCGAGGCCGACGAGGTCGAGGCGATTCTGGACTGCTCCGACTCTGAAAATCACCCAGACGACGCCTCCGACCGTAGCCCCATACGAGAGGCCAAGCGTCGGAAGACAGCTGTATCGGGGACTCAAGCCAGCACTGCCAGCACGAAGGCTTCCACGACTTTGGTCGGCACGTCGGAAGCACTCTCCGGAAGCACCCTAACGAGGAGGGTCTCTATGAGAGAGCCCAGCCCCCTCAGCGGGTCTACCGTCAACGTAGAGTCCTGGCGCGGCCCAGCGAGCAACACTCGATTCGGGGGTGGTGGTGAAGATGGCCCGTCTCAAGTGCAGCCTGGCAGGAATGAGAGGAATATCCCCCAAGCAACGCGTGGGCATGTCGCCCGCATGCCATGCGCGATGGTCAGCGCGGCGAAGAAGAGAAGGCGATGCGAACTGGAATGACGGACTTTGAGCACACCTTGCGCTGGAGGCCCCTCGTCGTCATCTACGTGTACATACCCCTTCAAGATGAGGTTAGACGGGATACCGCGGACTCGCCGCGTAAAATGTTGTATGATGAGGGCTGTTGGATACGTCCCCGGATGAATAGCGCCACACCAGCTAGTACCTGTCCTCCACAATTGATTTGCTGCCTGCACGCAAAATTCAGCTCAAAACATCAGTCGGGCTCCCGCCAATATAGTCATGCGAGCTCGGAGCGTAAAGTGGGCCAGCCTCCGCCCGATGACCCTCAGGGCGAACTCGATTACGGGGACAACGCAGACCCAATTCTGGGGACTGTCACCTGTGTAATCTTCAGCAAGGGACGTAGCGAGATGATGTGTGTGGTGTGATGGGGAAAGGCATCTATACATTGTATGACAGCCTGTCCGAACATCCGTCCAAGCGTCGCGAGATCCTGAAGGGGACTGCCCAGATCTTACACGACATGGGCCAAGGTAGTAGCGACTGCAAGGAGAACTGTGGACCTGCGGCTGACCTTGACGAGTCTTCTAATGTTCTCAGGATGATGATTCCGAATCCCCCATCCTTCGTACAGAGTACAAGTCGCCCGCGTGGCCTCTGCGTTGCGTGCCCTCTTGTACCGGGCGCCTGAGAATTCGTGGGACCGTCAGGTTGATTGTACGGCGAATAGTCGACTGCGCCCCACCTCCCTTGCAGAAATTCTGACGGAACACATCAGCATGTTGGTGTATGACCAGAAGAAACGACACAGTATCAGTATCATGATGTTGCTGGAGGTGCATACAATGGATGTCCTCGAGTCCATGACTCCATCCAGGATCAAACGAAGTCACGAAAGAAGCCGAGGTGCCAGTACTGGCAGGAGCCTGAGGTTCGTTATATGCGCATGCTCATTGGCCAACAGTGGCAGCTAAGGTTAGGGCTACTCATGATATCACATGTGCGTGACACTGTGTGACCGGGGTCTACGGCCGAGGGTGTTCCGGCAAAGCCGCCAGCGACCGCACAGAGAACGCTACCACCGACACGACCAGCTCCTTCCTCTCATCCTTCATCCCACCATGTTCGCACACCGTGCTCTTGGTCTTGGTCCCGCTCTCAGGCAGGCGGCGCTCAGGTCTAGGAATGGTATGTGCAGGGCGCTCGCTTTCTAGGTGTCACACGCACAAGTGCTGGGAATTGAACTTGTATGCAGTGGCCAGAAAACCCACTCTGTGCAACATTGTCGCGAAGCGGTAAGTCCAATATCGTCATTGTATACCTCCTTCATTATGGCGACCCTTATATCCGCGCGGGATACAGCTCGGTCCAGACGGAATCGCTCCCTCCTTCTGCCGCTCAAGAGATCCTAAACAAGCAGCGTCTTCGCCGCCCCTCTTCTCCTCACTTTACCATCTACCAGCCCCAGCTTACCTGGCTTGGCTCCATTGCCAACCGTGTCACCGGTGCTGGCCTTAGCGTTCGTGAGTAGCTCACCCCTTGATTTGACCCACTTTTGGTCTTGTTCACCTGGTGGTGTTCTTCAGTGCTCTACGGTTATGCGCTCGCCTATCTCGTCGCGCCCGACACCTTCAGCTCTGTCAACGTCGTCGATTTCATTCATGGCCTCCCGGAAGGCGTAAAGTATGCAGGCAAAGCCATCCTCGCCGCCCCATTCGCGTTCCACTCCTGGAATGGCCTCCGTCACTTGAGCTGGGATGCCGGCAAGTGTGAGTACAATTGCCTATCGCGCACCTTCGCGTTACCCGCATATGACCGTGTTTCTGACTCGCGCACCTCCTTATCTTCGATTCGCTCGCCCTCAAGTCCTGACGCTCAAGGGCGCTTACTCTTCCGGTTACGCCGTCCTTGGCCTGACCGCTGTCTCCACCGTCGGTCTCCTGTTGTTGTGAATACTGCATGGTAGAATGAATATCTTCTGGTATTGCGGCTGTATCCGGATGGCCGATGTTTGCGTCGTGTTGTCAAAGCCCTATAACATGCAGAGCATCGTCATCGTCTGACTCATTTACGTGACGTCACTGGTCGTGCATCATATGTGCGCGACTGGGACTTTCTTGCAACGCGCTTGTGAGTCTCCTGTATACAGCACAATCCCTTGTCTTTCGTTTATTGAATCGTAGCAACAGTTTGTCCGTAGACGCGTAGCTAAGTTCAATGACATCGTGTTCAGAAGCCCTATTTGTATGCGGCAAGTTGAAGTGTTGTCGGCCAAGAGTCCCACTTGGCCTCGGTAAAGATGATCCTAGACGTCATCTTGCCTCGCGCTAATTGTGCTTTGCAGTGGCAGGGCTGACGCTGATTCAATCCTCTCACATCGACGGGGATGATGCACATGGTGGTTGCTCAACGGCTCCTGAACTCTACGCTGCTTCATACTGGAAGGTAGGCTACCACTAATCTTCCCTTGTCATTGCTCGTTCATGATATTGACAGGTCTTTTTAGCATTTCGTTGTGGCCTCCGCGGTCTTCCGGCCAACCAGCACCCTCAGTATCTGTCGGTTTTCCCCTACGTGAAGCTATTCATGTCCTCGTGAATGATTTGTGGCCTCATTTACTTCTTCACTTCTTCGGATGCCCAGAAAGATGCCAATCGACCCCGCATCCCTGAGCGCGATCAGCTGCAGTGATTCGGCGCACCCCTAAACACCCGATGTTGTCTCGGGCGAGGAGCCGAAGCTCTCTTACCCGCCGATGGCCAACTCCTCATTGGACAAGTATCACACCACCTTCAGCGAGAGCGGTCTGATCCAAGCGGTTGTAATGGCTAGACCTCGCCGGCATCTCATCCTATGCGCGCTAGTCCCGATCAAAGCCGAAGGCTACACTGCTTGGCATCCAGGTCTCACTACAAAACCCCTGCCTCGCCAATACACCTCTTTGGCTTCTCAACCACACCCTCATCCTCATGTTACTTCATCGCATCGTCGGTTCCAGAACCCTCCTTCGACCGAGCGCGCTTGTGCGCCGGAGTGGTCAGTAACAATCGCATCCTCATTGACCAGCAACCTGGGCTCACTATCCTTCTTCATAGTCGTCAGGAGCTACGCCTTACCCTCTGTCGTTAGAAGACGGTGAGTCGCTAGCCACCTCAGACTGCCTGCTCAGCCCGCGGCTCGACCGCAAGCTAACCGCCCGTGCTTCCCCTGCAGTCGGATCCAGACCGATTCCCTGCCACCATCCGCCCACCAGGAGATTCTCAATGGGCAAAGGCTGCGCCGCCCTAAAAGTCCCGTCCTTACCATCTACCAGCCGCAGCTGACGTGGGTTGGCTCTATCCTCAGTCGGTTCACTGGGACTGGGCTTGCTGTCCGTACGTACTGCTCCTCCGTTCTGGATGTGTTGACAGTTATTCAATGTCGTCTTGCCACGCTTTCGCGCGCATCTCATCCACGTACTCTCCCGTCACATGAACGTCTTTCACCATCCTTTCCGTATATCTACCCCCCGTACATACACCCTCTTCATACATCACCCCTGCTGCACCGATTGGGACGCCACCCCACTCTAGTTCTCTACGGATCCGCACTCGTATACCTTGTCGCCCCGGACACGTTCTCTTCTGCACAAGTCATTGACTTCATCTCTACGCTGCCCGACGCCGTCAAGTACGCCGGTAAGGTCGTGCTCGCCACCCCGTTCGCGTATCACTCCCTATGCGGCGTCCGGCACATTGCGTGGGACGTTGGCAAGTGTGAGTCTGCCTTGCTCTCACCATTTTACAGTAGGACGTCGTCGTGCTGATGGTATGGCATCGGGAAGTTTTGAGTCTGCGCGGGGCATACGGGACGGGGTACGCCGTGATTGCGGGGACGGTGATAAGCACCGTGGTGATGGTGTTGAGGTGAGGTGGGGGCTCGCTGTGCGTGACGGTCTTGGAGCTCCTCCTTTGTAACACTATAATCGACCTCAAACGCCTGTAGAAGTTGCGATGTCTTTCTCCTCGTGCAACTATTTGTGAGCATTTCTCAGTAACCATCCCATACTGTATGTTGATTGATGCTGCCTTAGCATTTTGCTACTCGCCTTAGCCCAACCCCACATGTTGAGAGGGATCCGATCCGACGAACGCGCTGTTCTTTCCATCTTACATTGGAACCGCAGAAGCAACACACACGCACAGCATGCATGTCAACTGATGACTCTGATCGTTGTGCGAACTGCTGTAGCTCATATTACGCGGGGGAGATCTCAGAGCTCGCAAATAAATTGATTCAGGCCAGATGCCTGAGTCCGCCTTGCTACGGCGCGTATGAGACGCCCGCAGCTCCAAATGTGACAGGGCCCATGATGGTGCCCCACTGGACTTCCTGATATCTTCAGTATCCGGGGTAGCCTCACTAGCAGGCGTGCGTCACTGTTCGGAGGCGTGCAGGTAGCCGGTAATGCTCCTCCCAAAGGATGTGCTCACGAAGATGTGCCCGCTCCTCTCGCTCGCTATCGTCACAGGTTTGATAGCATGGGACGCGTGGTGCGTGATATGCACCTTACTTCCGACATTGAACGCCATGACTCACGGATAGGACACACCGGCGCGAGTTGCACAGACATTTCGGAAGCGCACGCACAACGACGTGGGAAATGTCTAAGACTAGACTACAACGCTCGAGGTCATTGCGCCTCGTGATGCGAGCACGATAGACTGGCTGCGGTTAGTACACGAAGCGGATCTATGATTTACCTATTATGAACTGTGGACTCCTGCTTCTGTAGATGGTACGATACGATGCTGACAGATGGTACGATGTCGATAATGCATAATTTGAATGCAAAGTTTACCACTTTGATTCCTACTCGGGGCCGCAACGCCTCCGACCTTCATTGAATCGGCTGCATCGAGCCCTGAAGGATGATACGCCATGAGCCTCCTGCAGTAACCCCCCCGATCAGAGTCTGTCTCGAGATTACGGCGACCTTGTAGGTTTCCATCTCGCTTCGGAGTAGAACCTAAATGCCATGTCATCTCACGCGGCGCCGTTGGCCGACGTCAGGATTCGAGCTGCTTGGTACAAAAGACATCAAATGGCAGGCGTAGAAAGAGCAAGGATAGCATATAGAGGTTAACCCCCATACGTACTACACCGATCCCTACAAGATGCGATGCTACTCCTTCCCCCGAGCCTTGTCTCTTTCCGGTATCGTCGTCTGAACCGCGGTCTCGGTCGCCTCGCAAACCTCGGCTCTTCCGCCCGAGTTTGAGGTCATTTTCGCAGGACAGATGATCGGCGCCCCCTACACGAACACTACGGGTCCGTTCGGCCTCCGCGTGCACGCACCCCTTTCCGGGTGAGTTGGGCATCCCCATAAAGCTGCATCTTTGTGTTCTCACGGGTATGAACTCATACACAGAGGGAACCTCACGGATGCCACGACAGGCGAGGTCGTTGCAACGATGCTGCCGACGGCAGATGACGGCTTCATCATCGGCTCGGCGACATTGTTCTCCCACTGGGTCCTGCCATACGTCTGGAAAACGGACGGAAAGCTCGCGTCGATGACTGTCAGAGGCAGAGATGGGCGAGGGACTAATGACACCGGGGGTCAAGCGTGAGAGAGTCTATGGTTTTCCTACCGATTGCATGTCATAACTTCAGGCATTGTAGAATTCAATAAAGCCAGAACTCTGGAAGCTGAAATAGAGAGAAAGCCTGAGCCATTAGAAGAAGTCACCGCTGCCGACTTTCGGGGTCCTGGGGTCAAGCACATCTCTGGTCAGAGGCGTCGGGTAAGTCTTGCGTGATGACTACGTTTGTGAAAAAAATACGAACCTCAATGTTACGCAACTGCGACTAGGAATACGACCGGCCACAGTTACTGCTATGTGTAAGTCCGCGATCCTACGAGCCCAGAGCGGGCAGCCTCCCATGGAGCTGAAACTCACTGCAGAAGGGATTCCTTTGCAGACATGTGGAGACGGACTCTTCGGCATACTCGTGGATGAATAGCAACTTCTTCATCATGAAGATTGTGGGGACTGCAGAGCCGCTCGTGCATAACATCACCATTTACGGAGTGGCCAACTGAACGCGATGCAGTAGACCCAGTAGGGGTACCAATCACACGCTGTGTGAATTTCGGTTCATGAATGAACTTTGGAGCTAATTCTCAGCCAAGTTTCATAAAGGCTCTCGATCTGTCGGCTTCAATGTCAGTGTGGAAATTGACTTTGGTTCTCTGTTCCTGCGGCAGTATATGTCAGAGCTGATGGCAAAGTCCGGCGTTGATATTGCTAAGGCAGCGGATGAACTGATAATCTACCAATGAAGCACGTTCAACCGCATCCTCAGCTTACCATTGTTACGCGGACTCGAAAAGCGCACTACGCGCTTCAGATTCGCTCGAAAAAAATGCTCGCTTGGTGATAGCAAGCCAGATATGTTATGAAGATGATTGCCTAGACTGTCGTCGAGGAACATGACGGCGGTGAGTAGGAAGAAACGATCGGAGGAAGGCTCAGCCGGATTGTGCCCACCCCCAGAAATCGCCGGCCTACTCGGCCAGCCGGAATGCCGGCGGTTTCCGGGTTCCAGGGTCGACGACTCGGACTGCGGTCTGGGTCTCGCCGCTTAGCCGTGCAGTGACGCCGGTCAACTCGGGGACCGTCGTCTGCAGCCATTCGCTCTCTTATGCTGGACCCTGCTCACATGCGCCATGGATGGTGAAGGAGACATCGATGATTGAGGAAGTTACAAGCCAGCTCCTTTCCGACCGCTTCTCTTCCTAATCTCGCCGACTTCGTCGTCAAATTCATCTGGTACCACGGCCTACTGTCTGCGTTCGGAACGTCATTACTTTTCACCCTCACATTATAGCGTGTTATGCGAATCTTGTCATCATGCAAACCTAGTTTCTGTCTCGAACTTTGGAATCTATATGTGGTACGGGCTTCTTGCTATCAAACTCTCTGGACACGCTTCACGGTGGCTCAGACCTAGGCTAGACACGTACCGCACATGTTTTTCACAAAACAGAGGAGTCGCGGATCGCGGGGCACCCACAGTTCTCCTGATCATATCTTTGCAACCGTTCACTGGGTCATTCTCCGACTCTGCGATGAGGAGTGTCGGGAATTGTCCATGCCACGCGAGATTGTGAGCCTCGAGGTCACCTCATGAGGCATCACGAGCTTCCGTTTGGAGCGGAATGATCGGGCTGGGCTTGCTTCCTGTATGTATTGATTTCACGAGGCGTATGTCCATTCCGTGATGGCTGGACGATCCGTTCTGCTACCGGACGATGCTGATAGTCTCGTCTTTGCTTCCTCGTACGATGGGCATAGATCCCCTACAGCATGCTAGACAACAATTCTGCATGAACACGCAAATCATTGTGTATGACTTATACTATGATGTGAGGTACGCCGTAGTGAGCGAGCGTATCATTCTCGCTCTCGAAAGTATCCTCAATCGAAACATCCAGATATAGTAAGCCTCTCAGCGTATGCTACGTGCTTTTCCATATCTGATTCTCTCACCTGCCCTATCGAGGTATCAGGGTCCAGTGGACACATTATACAGGCCTAAGTCCTCCCTGCTTTCCCTCCTGCGCGCTTGCGCCCACAACCTCGCGAACATATCAAGGCGCGGCGATGTCGCGATCAAGGAGAAATCTGGTCTTGCACTCGAGACGCGTCGCCTCACATCCTTCATCCACCTGGTATGCAATTCCTACCGCTGCTCGAACAGGACACGGAGATGGCTCTGGTGCAGAGCCGCGGATTCGACGACGTGGGGTGCCAGACGTCTCGTAGCCCAAGTCCTAAACCGTGTACGCTGGAGGACTTTGTACCTTCGCTGGAGGACATGGAGGATCTTGTTTCCGGCCTGGGTGAGTTATAAGCCCATAGGATACATGGATGTTGCTAATTCGGAGTCCTTCTCAGCGGCAGTGATGCCGGTGGCTGGCAACACCGCTTGCGCTCCTCCCGCCTACTCTGATTCCGTCACCGACATGCCCACATCTTCGCTGGGCCTAGATTTCGACGCTCTAATCGCTGGACCCCCTTCTTGTGGCTCCTTGGTGCCTCCTGCCCTTGGGCAGCAGACCCGTCATGCAACGGCTGCAACGTCAAAACTGTCAGGTGCTGGTGGTAAGCTCGGGTACTACTCAGCTTCACTCTTTGATGCTTATCCTTCGACTCGTAGAACGCTCCGGCCAGCAAGGGACAACATCAACCAACCGCTGCGCAAGGTCCTTCCCATCTGACGTCTATATGCGTGCTCGTCCTATGATCTGGGATGTCACTTCCTCTACGATGCCTCCCCCAGAGGCTCACCTGCTCCACGACGAAGCCCGACATCCCCGGGATCATTCTTACTCCGAATACGCTAGCGAGATGGCTGTTCCTCCCTGGCGTTGCCCCTCCATCGCGGAGGCAGTGTTCCGAACTCCCTCGACGCATGAAGAAGACGCTTTCACCGCATTCTCTACTCCCCCTGCTATTTCACCCCCGCATACTGGGAGCCTATCCTATCGTTGTCAGCCGAACAAAAACTGTAACTCTGCTCGTCAAACCGCTCGCATAGAGACGTGGACCCAACGTAGCTCTCCTTTGCGGGACACTGCTACATCGATGCATGCTATGCCGGGAACCTATCCCCCCTCTCCAACGGCGGTAGACAGTCCGTGGCACTCCGCAGAAGTGTGTCATTCTGCCCCATGTTCTCCCCGTCGTACGCGTCACCATTGCTGCGAGACTCACTCTGCAGACACGCCCACGTCTACCACACTCAGTGATCTGTCGCACTCTGGATGGAGCAGCACAGACTCGTCTCCAGACTCTGGATTACGTCTCTCGATACATAACCCCCTGCACTCTCCGTACGCGCTACCCCGGCGGTGTGCACAAACTCCAGCACACTCTATGCCTGCGCAAATGCATCCGAGCGTTGTCAACATCTCCATTTCGCTACCTTCGTCATGTTCCCATCAGGAAGATACATCTTACCATCGTCTTCGGTCGATATGTATTATACTCCTTCCTTTGGCACTCCTCATACCATTCGGGACGTACATGTGCACCACACTTCTCCCGTCGAGTCGTTCTCCGCATTCGAGCTTCATGCACGGACCTTTGTTGTGGCGGGCGTTTTCAAGTCTTCTTTCCTGCGCGTTTCACTTCATGAAAGATTCAGATGTGAAAATATAAGCTGTCGTTGACGGGTCTTCGAACTTGGAGGGATAAGCCGCGGATCATTGGAGGGCCTACCATATGGCATACGTAGGAGTCGAACCCCCTCATTCGGTAATTCCAGGAAAGTGGACCCCCGACCTCCAAGTACTTACAGTACTAGTGCTTTGCAAAAAAGATTGCAGACCGAAGCGCGCAAAATCCGGTTTGGCCCTGTTTGGCCACCCGGGGAAACGCCTGCGATGCCGGAAGCCTCTTTGCAGCATGGTCGATGTTTCAGCTGAAAACCTACCTAAAATATTGGAAAGGTGTACTTTGGAGGCAAAGAACATCATGGTGCATGTTTGGAGCAGAAAAGTGGGCTCAGACTCGAGCACGGTCTTGTCGAACGTGTGAGCGCCCCGGTGTCCGAAACAGGAATTCTCGCCGTAGCCGACTGGGAACAAATAGGGCCAAGCAGGATTCCGCGCGCTTCGGTCTGCAATCTTTTTTGCAAAGCACTGTACGTTCGTAACCGGTCTTGAACGTTTGAACATTTCCAGACTCCATCCTTGTCGTTGCAACGAGCAGCATGTCTTTCCTACCGACATATTTGGGACGACAGATTCATGCATATATCACGCCTCTAAACACAGCTATCTGCATAAGTGTTCTTCTGAACGTCGCCCATCGGTTCTTCAGAGCGGCGTTCACTAGTACCGTTACGATGTCGACAATCTGCTCAAATTACCAGATGAGTCTTCCAATCGTGGACAGCCTCATGTAAGGGATAGTCGCAAAGTCTCATCAGCAATTCGGGTGAGTGCGACTCGTGTTTTCCCTAGTTGAGCCCCCACCAACCATCCGATAACGCTCACCATGTATGGCCTTGCAGTCACGACGCGCTTTCTCGCAGACGACGCCCTGTAGGTCTCGCGATCCTCTCGAGGGGTTTGAGATGAGGCCATTGCGGTCTTGAGCTAGATAGTGCCTTCCATCGGTAATGACACTAGCTAGCTGCAACGCCAGTGCCCTACCATGTTCTTCAGGCATCCAGGCCTTGACGCAGACTTAGAATAGCGCCGGGAACTCCAATTCATTTCACTTCTGACGAGAAGTCATACACCATAAGCCAAAAACCCAGATTTAACGCTCGCAAACCTTGCTATGTGACTCCAGCAAGGGCACCTGACCGTTGGGTTCGAGCTTCTCTGTGGGCGTCGTGGGAGTGTCTTCGCGCCGGCGGTGACTATTCCACATGCCCTGCACCTATTACGGGACATGGCGGTGAACAAGACCTTCGACCTTATCTCCAGACATCGCCAGTGAATGAGACTCGGCAACTCTTTCAAGCTTGGGCTTTTCCGGTCTCGTCCATTGGATTCGAGCTCGTCGGTCGACACTGGGCTGTTTTGGACCTCTTTTCTCTGGCGCATTTGGCCCATCGGTCGAGGCTTCCCCAGAGGTACGATCTCATGATATTTCATATCGACACGAGGCTAATTCTCAGAGATAGTAGGCGGTGTTGAACGTATGAGATCGTGCACCAGAAGACTTCCTAGACATCTACGCCAATTTGGTATAGTCTACTCGTCCCAGGGATAAGGATCCTAGCATTCGGTAACACCGCCTTCTGGCATACTTGGTCTGACGGGCGGTGGCTAGAAGAACAGAACGAGTATATAAAGCGCACTTCGGTGGATACATTTCAGCACCCCCAGCCTGATCGTCATGCAGACTCTGCCCGAATATGAAGCCGAAGAGCGCCGCTACCAACAATTGACCAAAGCCTGCGATCTCAGCACTCAAGGTAACGGCTTGTCTGCCCTTATCCTGTTGTGACCTGAAGCTCACCGGTTGCGCACCGTACATCTGCAATATTGATGATAGGTCATAATAGGGTTCATACACCACCATCGTACCCAGAAGATGCAGACTTCTCTTCGACACCTTGGGCACCTCAAAGTGCTCTGCCTACGGATCTAGTAGTCCATGGAGTGCCATTAGAACCTATCCAAGAGAATGCCACGTCCTTCGGTTCGCCGTATCACATGCCTCTTACTGCCTCGCCGCTCGTTCAAATGAAGGATATCAACGGATCAGGTGAGGCATGCAATTTGGCAACAGTAGCACAGGGGACATGACACTCACAGACGACTCTTGAACAGACTTCGAAAGCGATCAGACTTTGGCGGACCTGGAACTGGCTACGGACCAGTCTCCCCAGGCAACTGGTGTCTCCTCCCGTGCACGTCCCGTAGCCTGGGGTGCCAGTCCCGTCGACAAGCCCCGGGAGACAATCGAATCCTCTCCCCGTTCGCAACTCATCCATAGGCGTACCGGGAGCTCCAGGCAGAGTACCAATCAGCCCCGCAGCACGATGAGTCGCTCAAGTTCCCGACACGGAACATCATCACGCCGCACATCTATAGACCATGCGACGTCCAGAGCATGTTCGCGACAAAATTCTGATGGCGGTCATCGGCATCGTGAAACCCGTAACCCTGTTATCTCGTGCGCCGATTCGAGTGGGAGCTTCGTGGGTCTCCAGACGGAGGTGCCTCAGGCGATTGCGCACGCGGTATCGCACATACTTTCCGCCGATACACCGGCACCTCATTCGAGCTCTACACAATTCCACCCCCTCTTCCACGCCAATCCTTCCCTTCTGCGGCCTGCGACAATGCCCGAGCCTACTGTCTCCCAATCCGACCTTACGATTAATCACAACGTTGTGACTCCCCCTTCCCGTCAGCCTCCGGGAGCCCTAGGTTCACCATCCTCACGGCCTGCAGTCCCCAGGGAGTCAGGAAGGAAACGCAGGCGTGTCGGGATGTCTGGTGTCTATACGCATCACGCCAACTACAGCAGCGACACATTATACTCTGACATCGTGTCTGCGGCTGGACTCAACTATGGGTTGCCATTCCGGGCACCTACGAGCTCCCTGCCTTCCCCTGCGGCACCACCGCCCTGCCTCCTAGTTCTCCCTACGACTGCTGCGGCAGTGCAGTCGCGCCCTAGCCAAAGTGCTTCTCGAAGCTCTACCGGTCGGTTTCCGTTAGCCACGGCGCTAGACGGAATGCAGAGCCCCCGGCTTCCAGTAGCGGACGACTTCGGCACTGACACCGACACTCGAGCCGATGTTGAGAGATTCGCACCAGTCCAGCAGAACACGGACGCGTGGAAGCCGACTTGGGAGGTTTTCCCGTTGAAGGTGCACCGTGGATATGACCTCAGAGTCATCGAGATCCAACGGGACTGGGACGATGAGGAACTGCTGCGTGAACTCGGCATTGCGTATGATAGACTACGCACGTGGTATCGGAAATACTTCTCTGTCATGAACGTTTGGTGGGTATGTAGCCCGTTTTCCGCTCCCTATGCTGATTCCTTCCTGGATACTAGGTATGTCACAATGGTGGCGGTATGTAGTACTTCAGCTGTCGTGGCGCAATCTGGATTGACCGTGGTATGTTCAGATCAACCAACATTTCGTCTTTCCGCAGAGGGTGGGCCCGGCGAAGATAAGCCCACATCGCAACATGCGCATGCGCTATCTACTTGCGCACCCTGACCACGTGAAGGGTCAGCACGAGATCATGCGTGCACTTACCGAGCGCCGGGACTATGGCGTCGAATTTGTCGAGCGTGCTGAAATGGGTCGGATGGTGCTGCTTGCCAGTGCCCTGGCTGCATTTCCACTCGGCATTGCTATCGTTTATGGGATCTCCAACGGAGACTGGCCTGGAGCGTTTGGTATCGCTGGTGAGCCTGTCGAGTGAGGCCTTTCCCCCGTCTTGTAGTTGACTAAATGTATCATTAGCTTTCTTCTCGCAGGCTTTCTCTCTGCCGCTTGGGGTGTTAGCCACGATGTTCGTGTGGCGTGAGTGCTGAGACGGAATAGGATGACTCTGCTCATTTGCGGGACGTCGCGGAGGCTGTCCTGGATCTGTGGCTACTAGTATCGAGGGGAAATGCCTCGCGAACGCCATCGTTGGCCTACATTTGCTGCCCCTTTGACACGTCTTCATCGCCTCAGGGAAATTAGTCTTCCCCTTGATTTCTCAGCAGACCCCGTCCAAGCATGTGGACTCGAAGAGGGTACTGCTACATGCATGCAGAGGATGCCTTAGTCCAACGGAAGATGGTTGCTGCCAATACAAACTCCTTTGCACGCGCCCTCGAGCGGGCGGATTGCGCTATCAGAATCTTGACACGAAGCGATATGGGTGGCGAATGGTCACTATTTCATGTTTTGAGAGGCGAAGATAGTAACAGTCCTATAGGCGCACTTGACCAAGATAATCGCAAGGTGGGTTGATGTGTTTTGGGCATCAGTAAACATGGGAATCACTTCATGCGTCTTAAACACGTGTTAAGGGCATTAAGACGTCTAAGACGGCATTAAGCGTTAGTAAGTCGTAAGAGTTGAGATGCTCGATTAAGACGGATTAAGACGATTAAGATGGGCCAGTGCAAAAACGTTCTGCATCTAATAGTGTTGCCGCCAAGCCAGCTAAGCTAAGCTAAGCTGACGAGCTGGATCGCGCTGGATCACCAAGCCGGAGCAAGCTAAGCCGAGATCCGGCTAGCTGGGCGCCAACTCCCTGGCCAGGCCCCAGCCACAGCTTGACTTGCAAGCTCACATTCCAGATATGGCAAGACGTTGCATGCGCCGACAGCGAACTGGGCATCATCGTTCCTAGCATAGTAACAACATGGTATACATGCACAGAACATAACACCATGTATGCATAAGTTCAATATATCTCCCTGAGCAGGTGTGAGCTGCCAAAACATGTCCGAAGGCCACAACGGAATCGCTGGGTATGCATGTCAGAAATAGTCAACACCAGTAATCCGGTGTGAACCTGTCGGCTTATCTACTCGACTAAATAGAGCGACACATTGTTCAACAGCTCAGTATCTGTGCTGGATTACCTTGAAGACTGCATATGTGATGTGGTTTGAACACAGCTGCTAAAGCCGTTAAGACAGAAAGCAGGATACACGAGAGTCTATAATTGTCACAGCCAACGAGCTGTGCCACCAGATAAACAAAGACAAAGCTTACTGGTGAAGGGGTTGGTGCTGAGAGCGAAGCAACCACAAGTGACACAGCAAGAGATGATGCAAAGATGTAGATTCCCTAGACTAGGAGGGGCAGTAAGAGGTAGGGCTGCTAGCTACCTACAGAGGAGATGGGTGATCGACGAGAAGATCAAGTCTGAGGTTCCCTGCCTCAGACCCCCTACTATTTATACAATTACAACGGTGCACAGACCAGGTACCTATTTGTCCCTGCTTGGTCAGAGTCTGCTGACTCGTGTCCTGTCTCCTGACCT